AATGGTTCCCAAAATAGAAGACGGAAACAATTTTGGCGTTGAGATCCAACAGGAGACCATTGAGGCCATCACTGGTGTCGAGGGAGAGGTTCTCAAGAAATTCGACAAAATCGAGAACTATTTCGAGTCGAGAGGCGATCTGATGGCAAAAGTGGCCAAATATCCACACAATCAGGACTTCCGGATCGCTGTCAAGGAATGCGACCAAAGGTTTCACTTGAATCTGTGCCTCACATTGACTGACATTCGCAACTATTACGTGAATTGACACGATTTGGTCACTAAAAACCTAAACAAAATTAAAGAGCCCCGCAGTCAAGACAACAAAGACTTCTTGTATTAATCACAATCGCTTCCATTCTCTCGTATTTATTGCAATTTCAATACAAAAATAAATTGTAAAAAGTTTGTAAAAAGTTGTAAAATATTGTAAGTTCTAGACTAATACTGTTGTATACGGTAATTGTAACAAAATTATAAATTGTAACAAATATAAAAAGTTAATAACAATTATTGTCTCTCAACTCAACTCTTAAACTTTTGTCGTAACGAAATCCATGTTTTATGGATCAGTTTCTTTGAATTCTTGTCCTTTTCTGTACTTAAAATGGGAAGACATTCAGAATTATCTGATTTGATAGACATCTCACTATTTGTTGAGCAAACAGAAGACTGAGTGGTTATAAGTGGAGGAGCTGTGGGTGTGGGACAACGAGTTGGCAATGAAATGCATGAATCGCTGATCGTTTCAATGGATATAAGTTGTGAACCGTTTGGAGAATCGGACGGAACGGACGGCAACTGCAGAAGAGTTGGTTTACTCTCATAGGCCACGGATTTGGTGACAAATGATTGGTTAGCGGAATGAATCCTAATAGAGTTGACCAATCGATTCCACGTCCAGTCGGGTGTGTCTAAGCTCCGGGTCATATCAATCTTTGTGAGCATTCGTATGATTGGTGGCAAATCACACCTCTTGTGGATAATAGGAATCAATATTCTATTCCTCTGTTCAATGGCCAGTCCGGTGGTGAAAGCCGTCTGAAAGTCACATTCGGGACACTCCAAGAAGTGAGGCGACAAAATGATGAGCACTTTGCGGCACTGGGAGGTCACCATCTGAGCAAACGACTCGTAAGCCCAAGAACCCAGACATAAGTCCCGATCCCTTATGAATAAACGCAAACCAATCTATTGGACAGACATCTCGTTTATATCTCTTTTCCAAACAGGTTTCCAACCATTGCTTACATTTGGAGACTCAAGATATTGAGACAATTGTTCAACAAAACCAATGTCTTTGTCGGCATAACAGACGTACGCGTCGTAAATGATTATCTTGGGCTCAATTGCCATCGTTTGGTGGTTTGGCTCTGAAATGCATTTCACATATAAATACAATGAAAGCGATCAGTGATTGTCTCGCACCTGAAGAATCATTGGACGGCTTAAGACTCTTGTAATGTCTGCTGTCTTCGCGAAGAAAGGGTGTCATATCGTCGATGATGTCATACCTCTCGATGCGGTCCAACATTTGGATCAATTGGCCGAATGTGGCGTCACTTCGGTTCTTATATCTGTCGAGTAAACCACTGAAGGGATCATTGGTTCTGAGGAGGGAATCGATGATATGGTAGGAGAAGCCCATGAGTTGCGCTAATCCTCTGTAGTCTCTGCAAAGACCCTCAGATGTGGTGATGTATTGCTCGCCATTCAGGTATTCAGACAATCCATGTCTTGTCGACAGACTCATCGCTCGGATCGGCGTTTCCCGCAAATCCGTGTCTTCTTCCTGAGACATACTTCCAGTGCACTCATTGATAGCAACTCTTCAGATCAGATCCAGTGATTCAAACGTCAAATGCTATGAAATGTAAACAAATGATTAAATCCCACGAAAACTACAATCAAAACAACATTCACTCAAAACTCGTACAAAATGTCATTCAATGTTACAAAACATATATATTTGCACTAAAATTATAAAATTATGTAATTATAGAGATAAATGTGAATCCAAATAATCTGTATGAAACTAAAATGTGAGCAAAATGTGATCCAGGACAGTGTGATCCGAAGTGTCCAGGACAGTTGGGTATATAGTGGTCACTTGTAAATAAGTTTTAGTGTAGAAAACTCTGTGTTTACAAAACGCCTGAAGTTATGAAATGCAAACACATTTCGTTTGAAGGCTTTCTCATTATTAGTGCTTTTCATTGAGATTTGCACTCAATTTGGCAAATGTTTGCTATAATTAGAGGTATTTTCATAAACAATTAACTTTGTGTTCATTACTAATGATTGAGTTTTCTATCAGCGGTTCATAAATGGAGACAATTGTCGCCAAATGTGCACCACTTGAAGAAATTGGTTGCTGAAGAATCAAATGTTTCCTACAAATCGGATATCGATTGGAAACAATCGGAGGAATACACCAAAGATTTGGTAACCAAATGATAAATAACTTGTATTAGTGTTAACTGATCCCTTTGTCCACGTGTTGGTCACTTATAGCCGGACCTGAGTCTCGCCAATCCTTACCGCAAAGCCAAACAAATCTGTATTTTATGTAAATATGGTATAGAAGTGGACTATAAGGTAGTGCTGACACGACTGTGCCATAGATTGTCTCATTTGACTGATTGTATGCTTTGTCTGTATGTCTATTTGTGCCGAAGAACGTGCAACTGTTGAGTCAATTCGTGAGTCCATATACGGGACGACTGTATGACAAACACATCACCGGTTTG